CACCACAACAACACACAAACACACACAACAACACAAAAACACAAACAAACACACAGAACACACACGCAAACAACACACACACAACCACAACACCACACAAAAACACACACAGAACACACACAACACCACACAAACAAAAACACACAAAAACACACACACACACAACACCACACAAAAAAAACCACAAACAACACACACACACACACGAAAACACACAAATACACAAAAGAAACGCACAAACACACAAACACACAACAATAGACACAACAACAAACACACACACAACCACACAAAAAAAACACAAAACACACACAACACACACACACACCCACACCCACACCCACACCCACACCCACCCACCCACCCACCCACACACACACACAGACACAGACACACACACACACACAGAAGCACACACATACAAACACACACACACACAAACACACAAACACACACACAAACACGCACACAAACACATACACACACATAAAAACACACGCACACAAACACACAAAAAAACGCACAACAACACACAACAACACATAACAACAGAAAACAACACAACAACACACAACAACACAACAACTTACAACACACAGCAACACACAACAGCACACAACAACACAGAACAACACACAGCAACACACAAAACCACACAACAACAACACAACAACACAGAACAACACTCAACAACACACCACACACCACACACCACACAGCACACACCACACACCGCACACCACACAGCACACACCACACACCACGCACCACACTCCACACATACACACACACACACCCAAACACACACACACAAAACACACATCGGTTTGGAGACGTTGTGATTAGGTGAAGCGGCTCTTCGTGCGGCAGGCGCTGGAGCTTTGCGAGGCGTGCAGCTCTCTGCTGGGGCTGCAGCACTGGACGGTGCCGTGGGTTAGAATCCACGGGCACTCGGTGTATCCTTTGTTTTGGGGGGTTGGAATCCCCTTTGGTGAACTGGAGTTCTGAAGGGAAATCCAAAAGGAAACCCACCTTTTTTGGAGTCCCTGAGTTTCGCCATGGTTCCTGGGAGGTTGCAGGGGCTTAGGGGGGTTGAGGGGTTTGGTTGAATGGTTCCGAGTTTGGGTAGCTCGGAGGGGTCATCAATTGCGGTGAGCCATGAATGGCAGCAATGTTAGGCCATCAACATGGAATTCCCAACGCTATCATTGCAGCACCGAAGACCCTGAAAAGGGAAGCCAAGCTGCCGCTTGCCACCCTTTCGACCGATTTGGGATGGGGTCGAATCCAGGTGCAGTGGGCGCGGCTGCTACTGGTGGACTTCGCGTTGTCGCGGCTGACGCAGCTCAGCGGTGTTCGCATCTCGCGGCGTGGGCGTTTGGAGTTGGGATTATCATCGGTTTATGACACATTCCAAAACAAGAGCTTGGGATGATAGAACCACTCAGAGGGTTTTTTTCTTATCTTGCTGGACTTTGGAGGTTGGTGCAATGCTAAGCAGAGAGTAAACCAAACCCCCTGTAAACTGGGGGGTTGATCTTGCTGGTTCGATAGGGCAGGGAATGAGACATGGAATGACCCCGAGAAAAACCATCCCCAATTTGGTTTCCTTTAAGGAAATCCCCTTCCGCTTGAAATCCAACACCCGCATGGTCAATCCCTACCTATCGCACCAGCAAACAATACATACCAACGGCTGACCCATTTGGAGGGGGAATTTGTTGGAATTTGTTTCACTTCTTGGACCCACCACCCACCCGCCCACCCGCCCACCCACCCACCCGCCCACCCGCCCACCCGCCCACGCCCACCCGCCCGCCCGCCCGCCCACCCGCCCACCCGCCCACCACCGCACCCGCCGCCCACACCGCGCCACCCACTGGCCCCCTCCCGCCCTCCCGCCCACGCCCCACCCACCCCACCCCCCACCATCCCCACCACCCCACCCCACCCCCACCCACACCCACCCCACCCCACCCCACCCACCCCACCCCACCCCACCCCACCCCACCCCACCCCACCCCACCCCACCCCACCCCACCCCACCCCACCCCACCCCACCCCACCCCACCCCACCCCACCCCACCCCACCCCACCCCACCCCACCCCGTGTTCACGTACCGCGGCGACGCGCCAGGCCAGCCGCGCGATTCCTTGCTCCTCTTCTTTCTCTTTGCGGTTCTGTTTCTTGCTCCTTCTTTCCTTGCTGCTTTCTTGCGGCGCTGCTTGGAACTGACTTGCCCCTGGCAGGTCCCTCGCTGCCCGCGGCGCCCCAGAGAGGAGGAGTTCGCTTTTCGGCCAGCGCCGGCCCACGGGGTTCGGCAGCCGCCAGGAGCTGGCGAGGCGGACTTGCTCGGCGACGTGGAGGCGCACCTGGAAGCCATCCTGGACGAGCTAGACTTGGAGCAGCCAGGCAAGGGCGGAGACTGAGGCGCCACGGCTGCCTGCTCGCTCATTTTTCCCAGGCGGCGCCGATTTGGACGAGGAAATCGGCAATGACGACCTGCACACCTTCTTCGACGGCCCGGGCCTCTAGCGCAAGCGGCGGGCGCCTCAGCTGCCGCGCGAGCCGCGCCAGGCCCCCAAGAAATCGAAGTCCAGGACGACAACGCGCTGCTTCGCGGCCAGCAGGCGCGGGCGGGCGACTCGGCTGCCTCGCGCGTCGATCGGGCCCTGCTTTCACGCGTAGGCCGACGCGCCTTCCCCCACATCGCCAGCGGACAGCGGCCCGGAGGGCGCGCCCTTCCACGAGGCACGCTGGCTTGCCTCTGTTTTCGTCGCCGGGCTGCGCGGGCACAGGCGCCGCCGGCGCCAGCTGAAAGGCCGCCGCCGCAGGCGGGCTGCGAGTTCGTCTTTGCGCCGCCATGTGTTTCCAAGCAACTCGCCGCTTGCCAGGCCCCGCCTTCGCCGAAGTCCCCGGCAAACAGCGACATTGAGGACGCCCGCGTGGCCAAGGCGAAGATCGCGCGTGGGTCGAGCCGTCGCTGCTTACTCTCTCGCTTCCTTTCGCAGGCAGCAGCGGTTTTTGCGGTGGACGCCCCTGCGCGCGAGGGAAGAACGTTCCAGGCGCGACAGAGCGGGAGTTACACAAACGAGCCCCGTGCCGCCCGCGACAGGCGGCCTCCTGTAAATCCTTTTTGGCTTCCTGTGGAGTTGGCAGGCGGACGATTTTTGAGGCTGCTGGAGTTTGACGTTGTGCGCGAAAAAACTTTGAGCAGACAGATTTGTGCACGCTTGTGTGCGTGTGTGCTTCTTGACGCCTTGTCTTCATTGTGGTTTTTTTTTCAGGGCTCACCTACCGGTTTAGTGTAGTTTGTGGCACTTGACAAAGATTTGAGCTAGGATCGTGTCGTATTTGTGCCCATTGGGGCCCTTGTGCATGGCGGTCACGAAGATTCAGCTTTTCCCCTCATTCCACGCTGTGTTGCAAGAAGTTGGTTACGAACAAGCTGTCATTGATGTGGGCGCGCTGGACGACGCCTTGTGGCAGTGTATCATCAAAGGAAGTTTAGTGTTTTCGCGCGGCCTCCAAGCCATCCTTCGCCAGCCTTAGTTCCCTGAGCTCAGTCTCCCACGCGTCCTTCTCGGCCTTCCAGGCCTCGTTCTCCGCTCGAAGGGTTCGATTGTCGGCCTTCAGCTCATCCTTTTCCGCCTTCAACGTGGCGAGCTCGGCCTCTTGCCGCTCCTGCGCAGGGGTGCGGCAGATAGCGCAGGTCGGCCTGGCAAGCGTGACTGCGCCTTGATGACCTCCAGTTGGGCTATATAGCGCACCTGCCAGCGAAACAACATGGAAAGCAGTCTGGCCAAACCCATGTTTGGCAGGCGCAGCATTTTGGCAGCCTAAGGTACAGATTTCGTGGCGGGCGTTTCCACAGAGCTTTGAAGAAAACAGCGGGCTAGTTGCCTTGCGAGCCCCAACGGCACGCAGCACTTGGCCCCAAAGGTTCGTATCTTGGCTCTGAAACCCCTGCACTCAGCATGGGCCGCGGCGGTCGTGGAAGATCTTCAGTCATTCGGATGTGACCACGTGAACTTGTTTTCCATGGCTTGTGAGTTTTTGTCGCTGCAACGACAATGCCTGATTGCTGCAGCTATTTTCATATGAAGCAAGAGCTCGGAACGAACATAATCAACACAGAACGCAACACTACAGTTTCAGCTTTGACGGTCTCTGCCAAGCCTGCCTGGACGCCCCCGTCGAAGCCTTATGCTCAGAGTGTTCGCAAACAGTGAACTGCCGGTCGTCCAACATGTCATGAGTAGCGAAGGGGCAGTTGTTTCGAAGCAACATGTTGCAGCTAGTTTCGCTCAAAATTTCAGTAGCAGCTCCAGCCCCATCGTCATGGGCAAGCGAGGTGGAAGCTTTGGCGGTGGCGCTTGGGGCAAAGGTGCATGGAACAAAGGCAAAGGGCTCGGAGGCCCAGACACCACGCACCCCAACGCAGTGCCCATGCCAGACCACTACGCTTTGGACATTCTCCGTCCATACCCGGGCGAGGATGGCAGCATTCTTGTCAAGCGCCAGAGAGCCGCCAGCGACACAGTGCTCGTTTCGTTGGAAGGCATCGCCGCACGGCTCACGCCCAGCAACTGCGAGGCCATGAACAGACCGGCCACTTGGATCTCAACTGTCTCAGCCTCCGTGACGGAGGGCAAGAAGTACTTTGAGTACTTCGGTAGCCCCCAGCTCCAGGAAGACACTGAGACTATCTGTGCATCCTTCAACGAGGATTTGGTGGCCGCTGCCAAGATCTTGGACACGAAGAAGAAGGAAACCGGCGACTTCGACGCAAGTATTCAGACGCTGCTCACTTTTCTCTCAGAGCCCTCAGTTCAGCAGCATCAAGCTTGGCAGCGAGTTGCCCTTGCTTGTGCTCACGGGTACACCACTGCCATGAACATCCTTCAGGGCATGGCTCTCATGCAGGACCGAAAGCGCTGGTCGGAACAGATCGGCAAGCAGATAGCGCTGCACCCGAGCGAGCTCCGGGAGTTCGTGCACAACTTCCAGAGCGACGCCTGTCTGCTGCGGGGGCTCAAGGCCTGCTTTCAAGAGGGGGGCGCGCCAGATGCCACCACGGGCATGTCGTCCCTCTTCAACCCTGCGCCAGCCATGGGTGCGCCGGAGTCCGCGACTAAGGCTGCGCCTTCCACTGCAGGAGCCTTCGCGGGAAGCTCCCTGGCGTCAGCGCCGGCCGAGCCTGCTCTCTTCAAGCGCAAGGCGGCCGCAGAGCCAGCCTCAAAAAGCAAAGCGGCCCGGACTTCTGCCCCCGTTCCGCCTGCAGTGGACGCCCAGCCTGATTGCTTGCAGAAGCTTCGCAATGGGGATGAGACGATGGTTGGCGAGGTGCTAGAGCTAGCCGGCAAGTTGCACCACGAGAAGATGCAGGTCAGCATGGAGGAGGAGAAGCTGGAGTGCGGGGTCTTGCAACGGATGGCGAACCATCCCAAGTTCCCAATTTTCCCGGCGTTGTCTGAGCTCCTGATGACCCTGGACGCCGACCCGGAAAGTGTGGAGGCTCGAGCAGAATTGAGTCTGATCCAGCCCAAAGTCTTGCAGAACTACGTCGGGTTGCCCGACGCCGTGCGGCGGGCTACAACTTCTGCGTGAAGGCGCGGATCAACCCATCCAAGGATGGGTTGTTCATCTTCTGGAGACAATTCCTTTGGCCCTTCGTGTGCTCTCCAACATTTCCCCCATGGCCAAGTACGCCAAGCAAAAAGCGCACTGCTGGCGACAGGACGTCTGTCGTGCCTTGACCTTGGCGTGCGGGTGTTTGAAGGCCCACTTGCAAGACCCAAAAGAAGACTCCGAAGGCACGGCAGAGGAGGAGGCCGTGGAAAGGCTCTCTGAGGGCGTTCCGGATGCAGAGGAGGGCGACGCCTTGGAGTCCTTCGCAGCCGGGTTGCAGGACTGAGGAGGAAGCTTGAGCGAACACTGACATCCGCCCATGCCACAGATAGGACAGCCCAGGCGCTTACCGAAAACAATAAGTAGTTGTATTACAACAGGTGAGCACGGGTTTGCCTTCCGATTTACACCCTAATATCTTCGGTCCTGAACAGAAGCGCCTGCGGCAGTCACTGGTATGCCATAGATAGACCGATTTGCGGGACAGCCCAGGCGCTTACCGAAAACAACAAGTAGTTATATTACAACAACACTGGTGAGCACGTGTTTGCCTATTTACATCCTAATATGTCTTCGGTCCTGAACAGAAGCGCCTGCGGCAGTCACTGGTCGTCAGCCTACCGTGAGAAACCTTGTGGCGTAAAAAAAGTGTGCTCTGCCACAGCTCGCTGCCTCACGGCATCCACTATGTCACTATGCGCTCTTTCGCTGCGCCCAGGCCTGATGGACACGGCGCAGGACATCGTCGATGCGTTGGTTTCCCTGGATGCGGAGGCTGCAGAGTCACCGGTGTCCTTGTTGCAGAGTGTTTGTGCACGTGCTTCAGGCCATTGTCTCACGTAGTCGTAGTTTGTCTTGGTTATAAGGGCAAGCGCTGATCGCTTTGGTGTTGCTGACAAGGCTGCAGCCTCCAGCGAGCCACGGCCAAGAAAGAGACTCCGCCAAGAGGCGTGGTCGCTCTTGTCTTGGGTCGCGTTGTCGCAAGTGTAGCCCTTTGCTTTTGCAAAACGGACACTCTTCTGCTTCGCTCGCGCCAGGAAGCGGAAGCAGTTAGTAGCTGGCACTGCCGCGGGCGGCCGGAGCAGCCTTGTGTCTTCGGCGTGGGTGGCCAGAGAGCGCGGCCTAATGGGCCTGCGATGTGTCTCTTTTGTGACATCGACAGGTTGAATGCCTGTTTTCTGCATGGGGCTTCCACTGTCAGCCTTCGCAAGCGTTTCAGCCGTTTGACGGAAGCTGCGAAACGTTTGGCGCTCGACAGAGTGACAGACCCAGGGTTTCGCGCCCACTTGGCAAAAGACCGCCTTGCTAGTCACTCAGCAGGGCCTCTTGCCAGACAGCCACTGGAGCTCACGCTGCCACGTAAGACCAGATTTCTGGAGCAGTATGATGATGAAGCCGCTTTGGCCAACATCTACAACTCTGGGAAAGAAGCTTGGGCGCCGGCTTTGGCAGCAAGGCGCACGCGTGCTTGAGTGTAAGTGGCTTCTCTGATTTCAGGCAAATGCAAAAATGCTTCTCCGTGTGTGTCTGTGTGTGCGTTGCTGTGCTTGTGCGCGTCTTTGCGCTCATGTTTGCGTTGCCGTGATGCTTGCCGAACCTGGGCAGGCAGATGCTGGGGAAGCCATCAGCTACGGATGCCAGTTATCGTGCAAAAGTCGTGGATGACAGGAAGAAGGCCTTAAATATGATGAAGGTGCCCCACGCCAGTTTGCCACGTGGACAAGGAGTGACCAACGCTGACCCGCTGCCGAAAGCAAGTTCCTCAGGCTTGGCCGCCAACTTACAGCTTTGGTGCGAGTTCAACAGCTGGAAGATGTGTGAAGTCTGCCGTCGTATCCAGCCCCGAGAGCTGACGCAGCAGGGCATGCAACAGATCTTGCGACCCACTTGCACGAGCGGTCAGTGCCTCTTTTGTCAGCAGAGCCAGCCGCTCCCAGCCCCAACCACGGCTCCGCACGCCTTACGGGCGTTGTCCGAATGCGTGCGGCAAGCCCTTGCGCCAGTGGAAGCTGATTTTGGTCCCGAGACACAGGCGAAAGACCGCTTCGGACGTGGCAACGGATACAGACTGCACGCTGCCATGGTGACTTTTTCTTGGAAGGCGCAAACAGTGGAGCAGCAGATTGCTGCCTTGCGGCCGGAAGAGCAGCAAATCGCATCGACTGCCTTGCAGTGGCTGCTTGACAACAGCGGCCCTGGGCAAAGCGACAGTGCTTTTGGCGAATTCCATGAAGAGCACCACGCTTTCCTTCGGAAGAATCCTGAAGCAGACAGCCGGCAAAGAAAAAGATGGCTCAGATTCATTGAGCGCGAGGGTCTGGAGTGCGCCCTGTGGCCAGACTTGTTTCGCAGCCGAGGCGTTTGCTTGACTTGGGCTCGCCTGCAGAGCAGCTCACGCCAAGCACGCGGCGCGCAGCGGACCACCCTGGAGCAGCGCAGTCGTGAGCGCGTTGACCCTCTGCAGACTGATGCGCCCGCGGAAGCTGCTGGCACCAAGCGCAGCTACATGGCGCTGGTGACGGACGCGACCCTGGACTACAGTCTCTCGTACGAGCTCCTGCACTTTGCCTTCGACTTGAATCTTTGGACAGATCTAGGGTCCAAGAGAAACATGCATTTGAGCACGCCAATGCACCTGCTTCTCAAAGGGCACTCCTTCAGCTCCGAATTCTGGCGTGACATGCATCGAGCTTTGATCGACCTGGTCCGACAGAAAGGCTACCCGATCATCTTCTCCACACATTCGCCTTTCGAGTGGAGCTGGCCCAATCACTGCTGGGTGGTGGACGGGATGGAGAAGGGAAGGCGCGGTCGTCTGGAGTTCCAGCTGGCAGAAGCTCTGCACCAGGCGCATGTCCTTAGTCAGATTGCCAAGAACTTCGTGTCGGGGGTCAACGAGCCGCAGCCTCGCAGGAAGAACCAGTACTGCAACCAGCTGCTGCCACGGCAGCGCGCAGACGGCACGGCCACGCCTGTCAGCACTTTCTTCCGCTTGGAGTTCCAGGATGGCAAGCGAAAAGCGCCGACCCAGTCTTATCATGGCAGTGGCCGGGCTCACATCCACCAGCTGGAGTTTGTTTGCTCCTCCCCCTGGACCGGCACGCCGTCGTCCCCAAGGCCCTCGGCTCCTCGGTCCTCAGCCGCTCGCTGGAGCGCGGGCTCCTGTCCGTCAACTGGGGCATGGCGACGACGAAGCCGGCCGTGCTGCACCGCTGGTGGCGCGGCGAGGGCCCAGAGGACGACCGACCGCTTGTCCTGCAGGCCCGGTTTGTCTTGAGCTCCTCGGGCGGGAGAACGGCGAGATCATATACTCGCCCAAGCCGTTGTCGGAGAGCAAGGTGGCGCTGGAGGCGGGGGACAAGTTGCGAGGTCTCAGAGCAAGCTTGTCACCTTGCCTGCAGGTGCTGAAGCACACGCGTTTTGCGTCCACCGCCTACGCCCGCCTCCCGCTCCCGGCCTCGCCGACCAAATCTTTGCCCTTGCCGCCCGGCGCGCCTCGGACAGCAGCAGATCCGCTAAGAGCCTCCGGGTTCCATGCATGCATCTCATGTGTCATTGGCACTGACCGCCTTCCACCTACATCTTGACATGCTGCCTTCACTCCCTTCACACACAAAACAATGTGAAAGTTTGCATCCTCTGCCGGAATGCTGGCATTTCGGGCACCCACCCACCCCACCCCACCACCCCACCCACCCACCCCACCCCACCCCAACCCCACACCCCACCCCACCCCACCCACCCCACCCACCCACCCCACCCCTACCCCACCCCCCACCCCACCCCACCCCACCCACCCCATCCCAGCCCTCACCCCCCACACCCCACACCCCACACCCCACACCCCACGCCCCACACCCCACACCCCACACCCCACACCCCACACCCCACACCCCACACCCCACACCCCACACCGCACACCACCCACACTCCCACACCCCACACCCCACACCCCACACCCCAACCCACCCACTCAGGTATGGCGTGTGTGGGAGCAAAAGGCTGGGGCTGCTGCTGCTGGAGCTGATCCAGGCGGGGCGAGTGGCGGGGGTGGGGGAGGTTGGAATGGGCGCATGGGTGGGACATCTTGCGAAAAACACCACTCTTTCTTGAACAAACACCTTTTGGGTCCTTGGTGGGGGGAGAAGCCACAGATGAGTTTTGAGCTTGAAACATTTGCGCTCTCCGCTGAAGGAGCTGTGGCAGTGGCTGGGCAGTTTGGGCCTGTCCCACGACCCCAGCTGCTTCCTGCTCACCCGGGCCATGGACGCTCTGCGGCTGGTAGGCGCGCTTTAGATTCGGGGTTGCGTGTTGAATCACCATTTTCGTTCGTTTTGGCACAACTTCCTTTGGGTTCAACAAACAGTTGCCAAGCCCTGAGTTGATTCCGTTGCGATTCGCTGATTTGTTGGTCTGGAAGGGGTGTTCGAGACTCGGAAATTTCAGGCGGCCAGCCCGCCTCAAGCGTGTGGCCAGCTGCCTACGGGCTCCTGCCCTCCTTTTCTGCTGTTTTGTCTGGGATTTCCTTTGAACATCCACCAACTATCGCATAGCCAGCTCTTTTCCTTTTGCGGACAAAAGTGGGATTGCGCTGCATCCACCAACTGTCGCAGATTCAGTTGGGCGAGAGTATTGAAGGTTTCAATACTTTAGGTATTCCTCAGTTGGTGGTTTGGATTGGTTTGGGGATTTGAACCCCTAGTTCTGGATGAGAGGGGAAACCCTGAACCCCACCAATCCAAAGCACCAAGTACGGGGAAGCTGAATTGGCTATGGGTCAAAACCTATGCCGATCCCATTTTGCGGATGAACACCCATGTACCGCCTGTACCGCCTGTGATGTTCTCGGGGGTTTCCTGGGTTTTGACCACCACAGCCAATGGCCAGTTTGGACTCCCCATGGAGCCAGGCTTCGACCGGGACCAAAGGCTGCGGCAGGAGGTCGCCCAGCCCGGAACCCGAGGGAGGCGGGGGTTTTGGGGTGGGGGGTGGGTCACACTCCCTCAGACAAACATGGACGCTCCTATGAGGCCTCTGTACATGGAACCAAGTCTTCCAAAGGCTCCTGGGAGCTTCCATGTTAGTCTGGGGGAAGGCAAGACCCCCCCCCCCCCCGGCGATTTTCGGGGCAAATGACCTGACAAATAGGCGGAAAGTGACAGCAGCAACGAACAAGCGGCACGCACGGCCGGCGGCAGATGTCCTTTGCGGGGAAGTTGAAGCGGAAAATCCGCAATTCGCTTGAACTGGGAAGCAAGCCCAGAATGGTTGTTTGGGTTCCATGGTCATCTAGAATAGATGGCACTGGTTTCAGTAAGGTGCCAGGTGGGCTTGATGGGAAGTAATTGGCTGATTTGCTATCCGATGTGCGACGAACCTGGATCAGCATCCGACCTCTCATAAGGCCCCCGCAAGGTTCTGACAAGGCTTTGACTCAGATGGGTTGGAGCCTGCCAAAGTGACCGCTTTCCTTCGGCGTCCGTTTGCACAAAAGTAGATGGCAGAAATCCCTTTAGGGTAGAGGGGATGTAAATCCAAATGAGGGAATTGTGCCATTTGCTCTCACCCAACTGTTTGTTCTGAGGCTGCAGGTCTTAACCGAGTCCTGCATGAAGCAGGCAGGGAGATGGGGTGGGGGCGTGGCCTCGAAGGACAACTCCCTATACATGTTCCCTGTGCGGGTAGAATTCGGGAAATCAGCTGAGGGAGGGACCAGGATGATGAAACTCTCAAGGCGGCCTTTTTCGAGGGTAAGTTTTGGAACTTGCTTACAGCGAAACCCAAGGGGGAACCAAATGCCTCGTACGCGCCTCCAGGAGGCTCAGTTCGACATGTTCAAGGCCCCAGGTGGTTCCTTACCTTTTGCTCGCCCAGTGCCTGTAAGTTTTCGTTGGACAGATTCGGGCCGCGACCTTTGTAGGACGGATTCAACGAGGTGCCCCACCACAGTCGCTGAGATGGCAGGTGGACATTCTGCCGCTACGTCCACTCATCATCGACGGGAGCTCTTCGGCTGGAGAGGGTTGGGGCGCGGCCTCCGGGCCATGGTTTGAACCTTTATTTTGGAGGTGGGGAGGGGGGTGATTGAAAATCCACCATCAACAGAAAGCTTGTTTCTGGCATGGCTCGCCAGCGCAAGCCGGAATCCACTTGAGGTTTTGTTCATTTTTCCATTTTTCCCTCAATTTGGCCCACCCAATTTGGGAAACAAAGCCGGAGGGCCAGTTTGCCCGGCCGTTTGCTTCGGTTTGGCCTCTCGACTTTCCTCGTGTTTGGATTCGACACGAGGCATCTCCTTCCAGTGAGCAGAGCCGTGCGACCCGAGAAGAAACCGCGCGCGAGCGAGGGATCTCGGGTGTGGGCCTCAGCGCCGTTGGTGGAAGGGGCTGGCGGTTTGGGGGCGGAAGGGAGCGGAAGGGTTTTCGCATGTTTGTTGGCGCATGTTTGGTGATCTTTGGGTGAGGTGGCCCCACGGGGGAAGGAGAGGGACTAAACGAGCTATGCACACATTGACACAGGCAACATGCGCCCAGGCCTTGGGGAATTCGGGACTGCAACCTTTGTTTTGTGCTGGAAAGGGTACAGCTTAACCCACCAGTAGTCTGCTCCTTGGCATCTTTGTTTGGGTGTGTCTTTCTAAACATGGTACCGTTGTTCGGCTTTTCATTGGCAAACACCAGGAACGTGTCTATTGTTTGGAGTACCCTATTTGGACAACAGCCAAAACCTCGGGGATTGACATCGCTCCATGTTCAGGTCGGATTCCGGCGACCCGACCCAGCGAGGGCCCAAGTTCGGGAAGCCGAAGGAGCCTTTGGGTTGTCATCTGAACAAAGCGGTGGTTTGCAGCCAGCGCCTTGGCTTTTCGTGGGGATGACGATTTAACCCACTGAAAGTTATACTTTTAGGAGGGGATCTGAACAGCCCAGTAAATTGAGCGGCCGAACAACAAGTGGTGCCAGCAAAAAAGCGACACCCTGTCCATGGGGCACACTCAGTTTACTAGGGAAGCGTTCCCCCGGATTTGGCGATCGACCAACCATGGGCTATGCAGCTCGGAGCCGGGAAAGGTGCGTGGCATTGGGAAAGTGCGATAGGGTTGTTCCATGTGCTTGAACATGTAGCCAGGGAACTAGGGACTCCATGTGCGAGGTTTTGTCTGACGATGAGTCCAGGAGTTTGGCCAATTTGACCAGGGCTTGTTTTTCTTGCCATGCAAGGGCGGGGGAGGGGGGGGGAAGGGCTACGGAGGACAACATGTGGGGAGTGTCCCCAATTGGTTCTTGCAAGGAAGCCCCGGAGAACAACCATACGGTTTGCATCCGGCACTGGGGGCTGGTTGAACACTCGCAGCCCTTGTAAGTCAGTACAGAGGGATCGACTCAAGACATCTACGCTTGCCCCCTTCACTCTCCTAGAAGCAATGCAAACTGTTGCCAACAAACATGCAGTGCACAGATGCTCACTCTGTCTTTCCATTTGAGCCAACTCCAAAGGCAGAGAAATGCGGGGGGTTCCTTGTTTGTTGAGATTCCCATTGTCTGCTTCAGAGCCCCTGAGGCGATCGAGATCAGACGCCAGCCTTCGCCGGTCTCGAGCCGATCTCCCACGGACCAGACCGCGGCTGAAGGCTTCGTGAGAACTTGCAGTCCTGACGCGCGCCAGGATCGCAACTGGCAGGCAGTGAGTGGAAAAGGCCTGGCAAAAAAGCCGTGGTTCTTTCTAGACGACCTTACTGGACCATATTTTTTGGCCGATCTACGAATATCTGGCTCTGGCTGCAGCTTCGGCGACTTATTTTAATCAAGCAAGAGTCACATACGCAATTCGATTTGTTGGGATTGGTGGACCCAGAAGGACCCAACTCAGTTTCCAATGGCTCAGTGTTCCGTTCCAGAGACCCTCCTGTGAGAGCTTCAATTCAGCGTAATGTCCAGCGGGCAAGGTGCCAAAGACGCGGGCTTCCTTTAGATGTTCTTGTATTGGCTTCTTTGAATCCAATCCAATTTAATCCAATCCACACCATCATTTTAGAGAGACTTGGCCGGACCTTCTGCCGAGTAGCATGGTTCTCGGACAATAATTACTCAGGTTCTGATTCAGGAAAGCCCTAAGCATTTCACGAGCTTAACATGAGCCTCCGCGCGACTCCGAAATTTCGTCCACTGGCCTTCTAGTCTTTGTGGAGGATGGAGCTCGGTGTCGTGGGAGTGCGGCACGTTTTTGTAACTCTTGGATCTCAAAGGGGTTTCTCTTAAGGTCCAACCCAAAGCCTTGTGGAGATCCGCCCAAAAGGAGGCTGAGGGAGTGGGCTTTGAGATGCAGGTGTCCTTAGGTTGGTTGGGTAAGAAATAAGTGGCACTGGATGGGACGTATTCCATTTTCCGGGGCCATCTATTTCTCCAGAGGGCCACATGGATGAGATGGTTGCCGCCGATCCGTCCTCTTCGGCTCAGCTTGCACGTTGGCATCCCAGCGAAGGATCGTGGGGTCGAGAAAAACCAAGCTCAATCAAAAACACAGGGTCCGGGGTCGCCTTTCCTTGTTTTGCCTGCTTTGGGGCCTGCGGTCGTGGGCCCCAGGTGCTCGTGGTATCAATCCAGAACTGGACAAAGCCCCCTCTGGAAACAACACCTGCGCATATATAGTAACTTATATGTGCCAGTTTAATATGGCCTGAGCAGCACCAGGCGGGCACGCCGGGTGGTCAGTCTTGAGAGAGCTTTCATTTTGGCCGCAATCTCACGGCTGTGCAGGGCACTGCTTATTATCTTATGATTGAACAGGGTGGTCCCAACAACATGATTTTGCGATTCGTTCAATTTTCTCAGCCTCCGGGGGGCAAACGGCGGCCGCGCAGGGCTGACAGAAAGTTGTCAGAAGAGCCATTGTTCCAAAGAAGGCTCAAAATTTCCACAACCACATCAACGACCACTGAAACAGGTCTGGCGAGAAGGAGTTCGCGGGGATGCTGACAAATAGATTGGGCCAAGGTTGGATCCCAGGAGACAAACTCATTTTGACCCCCTAAGGCGCTTTTGCTTTCCGGTGCTGCGAAGGGAAAGCACTTGCCCTTGCTTTCTATGAAGACATGTCATAGAGATTTGTCAGTCGGACGAAGTTGGTGCACTGTCATCTTTGCCCATGATAGAAACGTTGCAGATCCTTTCCATTTGAGATTCAACTTGGATATTCCTGCTAAGGCACCTGCTTTCTGAGCGGCGCGTTGTTTTCCGGCCGTGAAAGCTTCAACTATAAGCTTCGGCTGAGCCAAATCCTGCACCACCTAAGAATCCCTGGCATGATGAAAAGTGGTGCGAAACGGATTTCGTCCACCCACAGTATCACACCCACTTCGTCCATTCTCGCAGGTTGCAGCTTGCCTCGACGGTCGTTCAAAAGGCCGCGGCGCATGCTCCCAACTCGGGGGTCATACCAGGGGTCTGTGCATCTAGGTCCTCAAGTAGAGAGGTTAGAATAAGGGTGCCAACTTTTTTCTGTCTATTTTTGTAGGGGAACCCTCCTCCAAAAAAGGCCCATCGAGGGTGCAGTCCATGGCCCTGAGATGGAGCTCGAATTCGGTCCGTCGGTCCGCCGTGTGTGGGTCCATGGCTCCAGGTGCTCAAATCCTAGTGACCTCCAGGCAGGGAAGGTGGGAGCGGTCGGGCTGTTTTGCGGGGACGCAGGAGGGCCATGAGAGAATTCACCAGTCGTCCAAAACACAGCACATACCTTTGTCCATTTGTTGAAGGCACAACGGGACATTGGGCATGGGTGAGCATGGTTCTGAGTTTATCTGACCAGTTTCGGCATAAGGAAGCAATGGCCAAAAAAACACACCAAATCGGTCCAGGGGATTCGCGGTTGAGCTGCCGAAGGCGTCGCGAAGCCTTCGGAATCGCAGGGGCGGCAGCTCTCGGGCCTCGGTCACTTCGCGTCTCCTTACTCTGACAGAAAAGGCCGGTTTGCTTACATTGAATTTGACCCTTCGCAGATTCGTGAAGGGGTTCCCAGGCAAGGACTACCTGCACCTGGGGTGATGGATCAGGATGGAAACGGGAACCAAGAATGGGCAAAGTTAGTTGATGCATGTGGAAGTGGCCCATGTCAAATGGGATTCACAATGGTTGGGAAGATTCCCAGATGAATCTGCCAGCTTCAATCCCGTGGTGAACATTGCAGCCTTCCCTCATGCTGCGCCTTTTTTCTCCATTTTTTGCACTGGGCAGATCCCGCAGTTCACGCCAACCCAGAACTCAGACCCTTAGCTAATGCTAGGCATCCCAGGTCTTGCTGTATGGGCCCACCCTGAGCCAACCAGTAGACCAGGCTGCCCCGGAATTGATGAAACTGACCCTCAACCACAAGGCCAGGATTAACATGGCCCTAAGCCCCAACCTCAACCCCCCACTTCTCCTAAACCTGTCCCGCAACCCCATGAAACAAGTATCTAGCCACATTGTAGTCTGCTCTATCACGCGCAGATCTTCCACCCGTTTCCGAGCTGCGCCTTCCAAGCAATTAGTAATGTGGATGGCGAACACACCATCTCGCATGTGTAGACTAGCGCCGTTTTTCCACAGCCCCATTTGACCAGGCCAATCTTCGCGCTCGTGGCAGCGTTCCGGAGTTATGTCGAAGGACGGGGAAGAGAACTTGAGACTACAGCTTTAGCTGTGGGCGTGCTTTTTTTTTTTTCTTCTTCTTCTTCTTCTTGCGCGTGTGTGGTTTCGCTTTCGACGCACCCCAAACAAGCCTGACACAAGCCCGTGATTACCCCAAGGTTGCGGCTATCCAGGGGCGGTTGATTTTCCAGAGGAATTTCCTGGGTTTGAGGTGACCTTGTCTAAACGTGGACTGTCATACTTTGCTCCGCATGAGTGGGAACCAACAAAAACACATTTTCCTACAAACAGTTGAATGGTCATTCACTTGACTCGCACGTGTCAAAAACAATGGCTGGCATGTGCTGCTTAGTGGTTCGCTGGGCCTGTCAAGATCGCGGCATGTGCAACACCGCAACCCATTCTGGTGGGCAAACGCAACACACGACGATGAGCTCATCGTCGTAGACCAGCGGCATGGCATGAGGCGCAGCGTGCAGCGCCGCGAGAAGCCTTTTGCAGGACATGGTGCCCGAGAAAGCGATGTGGCAGGCGGGACATAGGCTCTGCGAGCGATGCGCGAATCCAAATTTGAAGGGGTATTGTGGGGCGACTCGGTTCTGCATGGTTGTCTCAGAAGAAGGACTAGGAAGGAGTCAAACAGAGTGGCCGCCTCTTAGATAGCTGTGGTCGCCTATCCTTGTCCAATCCGATTGGGGATGTGTAACTTGGTTCGGACATTGTCTTCCACAAACATGCATGGCCCTGCATGGCACATTCTCTATCCCAGTCCTATGAAGCGGAGCCCTGTACGCCTTTGCACAGTTACGCATGTTGCTTGGAACCAGTGGTTTTTTTTTATTGGAGACCCTTGGAATTCAAGCTGCGTTCCGTCCTACAAGCAACTTGAACGAGGCCTTAGCACTCCCTCGCCGACAAAGCTGAGAGCTGTGTGCCCTTGAGTGCAGTCCTGGACACCCCTGGTTTAAAGATATGAATCTCTTTCCACTCTGCCACGTAGATCTTGAACTTGAAAGGTTTTTGGACTGCCTATTGGTTTTAAACACGGGAAGGAGCAAAGTGGTGGCTTTTCTATCCTTTCCTGCAATGCCACAGGTGGCACCGCTTGCTTTCCCGAATGTGAAGAGTCAAAAGCATCGCCTTTTCCCAGAATTGCGCTGAAATGCCCACCTCCGACCCGGAAAATTGAGGGCAGGCATCCACGGGATCTTCCGCAATCCACTGACCGAACCATTGGCACCCA